GTATTTGTACTTTGGCCTGCATCAGGTTGAGGTGGGATTGTGCGTGCGAGTGATTCAGCGAAAATGCCGCCGCCACAGCCTATGTCTAGGTATCGAAGCCCAGGGGAAGAGGCCCGGGTTGTGTTTGCATTTGCATTTGTGCTGGCGTTTGCATAACCCTCATCACAAGGAGAGGAGGGGGGGCAGGCTGAGCGGGGATTCGATTCGGAAAGGCAAGCCGCGATGAATTCATGGCGGAGTGGATTCATGAGGTGGAGGATGCGCGAAGGGCCCAGTGGGTCCCACCAACTGCTAGCGAGAGAGGAGAAGTGGGTAAGTTCGTCTGAAGATATGGAGGAAGATGAGGAATGGTGTCGGACCCTGTCGACCTGCGTGGTCGTCGTACTCCTCAGGCCATGGCGGACAAGGAGGGTAATGTTCCGTGCAGTACCCACAGAAGTGCGGGACTGGCTGAGAATCATTATTTGCGGCTCTGCAAAACAGTTTGCTATTCAACAGGGAATGGGAAGCGTCCCTGGGAACTCAATTAGCTCGAGATATCCATATGAGGAGGATGAATGGGGGAAGCTTAAAGAAGGTTCGCTGCGAATCCAGAGCGTGGGGTATACGAGCCATTGGTCCATAAAGGAGATCTAGAGGGGAGCGATATTGTATACCTTGAGAAGCGCAATGATACTCTTGAATTTCCAAGAAAGTATAGAGCTTTGCCTTGTTCAATTGCTGCTCTCCATCGTTTCTCGTCCACTGCGAATTTGTTTTGACATCGCTGGTTGAGATGGTTGATGGCGAGATGCAAACATGACAAACTCATGACAATTGACAATTGACAATTAGCATCATTCCCAGACGTGGAGATACATAGACAACCTTGGAATGCGACGGCAGACAAGGAGCTGTCAACAACCCTTCTCAAGGCTGCTCTCTGATGTGCACTTGCAGGCCCTTGCTGCCACACGTAGTGACCCCATCCATTGACACTCCGCGCTCGCCGAATCCGATAACGTTGATCTTAGCAGCCTCCATTCCATGCAAACAACACCCACCTCAATTGATGACTTGCGTTGAAGTTTGGAACCTATTGATTTGCGAAGATTTAGCTTGCTGGTGTAGGTTAGCATCTAGCTGTGTAATATGTAGTGTATACTTTGTATTGTTTATGTTGGCAGTCATCAGTAAACTACGAGATACCGTCGTTGTAGTGGGACGGAAATTGTCCTGTTTCTTTTCTTTCCCTTGCTTTCTGGGACCTTGGCTACGTGTTGTGCTGAATTGAAAAAAAAAAAAAAAAAAAAAAATTGGTTGGGAAGACGGCTTGGGTAACATGAAATTCCAACTCACATGGCGATCAACAATCCATAATCAATGATCTTATGGGTATATTTTATATTATTTTATATAACTATGTTAGGTAGGCAACTAGATGAACCGATATCTGACTAATTGCCTAAGAAAGAGCATATTATCTAGATACATATATATTGATTGACTTCAAAAATAAACATTGAAATCAAACACCATTTTTTTTAACCCATCATAATCCGGATCATCAGTCCAGCAATTAGTTCTCCCTGGCCTGTATTGAAACAGCTCTCGACAACAAATTTCCGCTATTTCGGAAGTCGATCCTCTGAAAAAAGAAAAACCATAAGAAACAGTTTAACGTACCCATAAAAGCAGAAAATAAAAGCAGCAGCAAGCCAAAAATGTCTCCCATCAGGAAAAACCAACTCAAGTATAGACAAGATAGATATCAGTTGTGTACATTCGTGCTCCGCTTGCGGCCACCATTAGCTTCCTTCCCAGCAACACTGGACATCTCACTCTCTCGACCAATGCTCCTCTCGCTTGCCTTGGTCAGCGTACGAGCAAAAGTGAAGAATCCCTGCCTGAGTCCCAACTCGTGGCTTGGCCAGCGTCGTCGCAAGCCCAAGTTAGCTGCACCGCCATAGTCCTCTCCCTCAGCGAACCAGCCGGTCCTTCGTTTAACCATTTTCCACACCTCCACCGCAAGCACGAATACGAATATTGATCCGAATGCCAGGCCCCATTCCCAGGTTATACCACTATGCTTGAAAACTTTTGTGTTGAGACCAGGGATGTAGACTGCGGGAAAAACTGAGACGAAGCCGATAACCACAGCCCAGAAGAGGAACTTGTTCTCCCATACATCGCACAGGAATGGGAAGGAAGCAAAACGTTCTCCAGTACGATCACGCCGCGGGTCTAGGTTGAACATGCTATTGCGAAGGTGTTTGAATTTCTCAGGCGGAGATAAGAATGAGCCATGTAAGTTCGGCAAAGACAGTGGCACCGGCCCGAAAACACAACATCGCAGGAATCGCTGCCAATACGGGTTGCAATCGTGTCCCCAGGGAATCCACTCCATTCTCTAACACCGTATATTATGATGACGAAGGTGAGAAGCGTACAGGCTCCCATGATGATACCGTAGATTATCATGTCAGTAATGATCTGCCAAGTGAAGACGCCCTTTTTTAGTATCATGCGGTGGCCGATGCATTACAGTGGCACTGGCCTTCTCACGACCGAGACCAAAGGCAGGGAACGAAGACGTCAACATGTTAATCCAAAGAATCTCCAATGGTGAGAGTGGAAAAACAGAAACCCCCGATATATCCTGGAAACCAAGTCCGACGATAAGGAGTACAACTTCGCCTACATTGGAAGTGAGGAGATGGAGAATGAATTTCTGAATATTCTCAAACATGCGTCTACCTTCCTCAATTGCATTGACAATGCTAGCGAAATTATCATCCGTGAGCACAATGTCAGCGGCAGATTTCGCCACATCTGATCCAGCCAAGCCCATAGCGATACCAACATCTGCAGCTTTGAGCGATGGAGCGTCGTTGACACCGTCTCCAGTCATGGCACAGTATCGGCGGCGACGATGGAGAGCAGCGATCATTCTAGTTTTTGTGTCCGGGGCGCAACGTGCAATTACCAAAGGGAGAGACGGCAAAGCATCGATTTCTTCGTCAGTCATGCCGTCAAATTCTGCCGCTGTTTTCACTAACGATCGAGCCTCTTCTGCTGATAGCGTTCCGGCATTGCGCGGAAGGATACCAACTTCCTTTGCAATAGCTGAAGCAGTTGATGGATGATCTCCAGTAAGCATGTGAACACGAATTCCCGCCATGGTACATTCTAGGACCGAAGTTAGTAACTTCCTATTTTAAGTGAGATAAAGACAAACACAGTTTAGCAAAACATACCTTTAACGGCGTCCTTGGTTTCCAATCGAGGGGGGTCATATAAACCAGCCAGGCCCAAAAGCGTCAAGTCTTTCTCGATTTCCTCTCGTGGAATTTGCTGCGAATGAGGGTCGAATCCAGTAGGGCCAGGCTTTTGCGCGATTGCAAGCACACGTAGACCCTGTTCGGCAAGGAAGTTCATCTGCTCGAGGATATCCTGCTTGATTTTAGGCGTCATGGCCTCTTGATGATCCCCCACCCCAACGGTGATGCAAAGGTCGATAATCCTTTCGACAGCACCTTTCGAGAAAACAACAGTTTCAGGGTCATCGGCATGGCGGTAGATAACTGACATACGCTTCACACTACTATCGAAGGGGTACTCGGCTAGTTGCTTCCAACCATATTGTGTTTCAAGCGCCTTTTTCCCAAGACCAAATCGGAGAGAAAACACTTGGAGGGCAACCTCAGTAGGATCGCCAATGGTTTGCCAGGTGTCAGATTGTGGATCGTGGCGAACGGTGGCTAAATTACACAGCGCCGCGGATGTAACGAACGCCTCAAGTTCGGGAATCATCTCAGGAAGCGCATTCTCCTCCGGATCGTCCTTTTCAGGGGGCGTTTCGTTTCGTTCCTCAATGCGACGTTGGTTGCGCTGCTCTTTTTCAGCAGGGATATCGAATTTCAGGCCAGCGGTAGAACGGAGCACGTCTTGCTCAGCGCGTTTGCGCTCCCGCTCCTGCTCAGCTTCCTGTTTCGATGCTGGAGGCTGCTCCAAGGTGATCGTCCCCCGAGTGGGATTATTAGCATCATCAGATTTGTGGAGACTATATACACCAGCCCCGGGAATCCAGGCCTTGCGGGTAACCATTTGACCTTGAGTAAGAGTTCCTGTTTTGTCAGAGCAGATATTAGTGACGCCGCCCAGAGCCTCCAGTGCGCTCAGTTGCCGAACAACTACTTTCCGCCTTCTCATCTGGGTCATGCCAACAACCATGGTGATTGTGAGGACAGCGATAAGGGACTCGGGAATGATAGCGATGCCTAAATAAAAGGGCGAAGATGAAATGTCAGTAAACCATTCTGCAGTCAAAACGCGCAACCTGGATTTCAGCACATACCAGTGGAAATTGCGTAGATAGCCACCTCATTTGTAACATTGAAACGATTAACACCAAAAACGATAATAGCAAGCAAGAGAGCACATCCGAATAGCACGTAGGCCAATTTGCTGAGTTTGATCTGCAACGGTGTTCCCTCCGTGAGGCCCAGGAATTTGCCAATTCTGTCCCAGACGCGAAGAGCTCCACCCTTGAACGGCTGGAAATTTCCATACTTCTTTCGAGACATAGAGCGACCAGCTTTGCGTTGTTTCCCTTGCATAGATTGAGCGATCTTTCCGATTTCGGTGTACATGCCAGTGAAAACGATGATGCCTCGACCACGGCCTTTGGTAACGGTTGAGGACGAGTAAGCCATGTTTAGGCGGTCCCCCACACCAGTGTCCAGCTCAGTTCCGATAGCACTAAAATCAATGTCCTTAGCTACTGGGAACAGCTTCGCCTGTCAGGATCTTCTCATCGCACTCAAGATTCATGGCCTCGATCAGTCGAATATCGGCTGGAACAGTATCTCCCATTTTGATCTGAACAATATCGCCTGGTACGACTTCGCCAGATGGGACGGTTATCTCATGGCCGTTTCTAATCACGTTGGCAGATGGCGAGGAGAGGGAGCGGAGAGCGTCCATCTTCTTCTCTGCCTTGAATTCTTGATAGAAGCCAATCACGACATTCAGCACGATGACAGCCGTAATCACCCCTCCTTCAATATAATCAGAGACACCGTATGAAAGGGCCATGGCTAAAACGAGGACCTGGTCCAAAAACATACAATTACTATATAGTTCCAAGAATGGTGGTGGTATATATGTTGTGTTTCCAAAAGAGAAGGGGAAAAAAAGAAAATAAAAGGGAGAGATAAGGCAGGGAAATTGGCTCAGCATTAGAGAGGGTTAAGATATTGTAGATAGCATAAAAAAGCCATCCATTTACTCTCCAGTCGATGGGAGACTACGTTCTCTGTGGCCCTCCACACGCCGATCTAAAAGTTCATGGCAAAGATACCACACAACCATCAGATGGCGGAGAGGAGACTTATATGAATCGAGTTGAAACGCAGCTGCCGTGAAAACAACGATAGGGCAGAGATGGATAAGCCTTTGGTGGGGTAGTGCGGGAATATGACAGAGCGAGGTTTCAGGGACAGGTAGGAATGAAAGAGACGTAAAAGAGACGTACCAGGATCATCGCATTTGATATTTGTTTCCCCAATAGAGAATACCACCTTGGGCCTCCATCCCCGTGCAAGCGGTTGGGTCCATACTCTTCCTGGCGTTTCACGACGTCGACATCGGGTAAACCAGTTTCCGTGTTTGTTTTAAGGATCTGGCCCACTTCATCGACCGACAGTAGAAAGGGGTGCTTCTCATACCCCTGTTTGCCATTGTCCTTGTCGTCTCCCATCACGCAGAGAGGCCTGCCTATGCTGTTATGTAACTATTTCTTATTTTCTATCTCGTCTCCGTTCTTGAACACCGAGGTAAAAGTAGAATAGATATAAAGCGTAGATCGTGTCCGCTATAAACAGCTCAGAAGGGCAGGGGAAGGAGTTATGAAGAGAAATAAGCAGAGTGGTAGAGCGGTTCCTAGCCGTGGCCAAGTGAGGCAGAATCCAAAATGATATAAAAAAGGGACGTAGTGCGATCCAGAGCCCGAATAATCAAAACGACGGTGGACAGTAGGCCTATTCGGATATGCAGGTCTATGTGAACTGCGCCGAAACAGTGATGGTCAGTATTATTTGAGGGGCTGTACAAATGTCGAATGGAATGACCGACCAGAGAAAAAGCTTCTAACAACACCACGGGATGAATACAGAGTACAGACTAAACGATATCAGACGATATTGTATAGGTCAGATAACGGTATGAATAGAGACGCAGTCCGATGACACTATCTCAATATTTACGGCTCCGTGTCAAGGACGGGGTTTGGGTTTCCACTTTGACGTCAATCTAATCTAGACAAAAGTTAAAAATTGTGATATGGGTCTTCTTGCAAGAAGGAAGGCGTACCTGACGATAACGCTGGAGGCAAAAAAGAGGGCAAGATCCGGCCAGGAAGTGGGAACATCGATGGCTTTATAAATCATCGGCTGGGATTCCTGATCTGACAGGAGGATATTGAAACCGAAAACCGCTCCGCCCCTCCCCCTCCACCCCCAAAAATAGCGTAAGGTTCTTGGCTTCAGACGGACCCGTAGATACGCAACCGTCCTGCCAGTGGGAAGTCTGGGCTCTTGGCGAAGGAGGGTCCGCAGATTTCGCCCGCAGCTGCTCAATCACAGCGCTTCATGGGATTTATTTTCTTCTTCCCCCCACACTTTTCTGGCAAGATTCTCCTCATTCTCTTACTCAACCAGATCGCGGTTTGTCAGTTTTGGACACTCCATCCCACATACAACTCTGAAAGCGGCGCGGAATGGCGAGGTATTGATTGGTCCATGGTTGCGGCCACACTGGCAACCTTGGCATCTGGCCGCCTATCCTTCTACGCGACATTCTCAATGACGGTCCAAGGTTTGTGCCATGTTTCCGCAGGCACAGAATCTGCTTGTGGTGGATTGTGGGGGGCGTTCGTGGGAATACTATCATCCATCATCCTTGCATCTTGAAGTCGTTCAGAAAGCAGTTAGTGCCTTGGCGGTTGTCGCATTGCTGGACTTGGGGTTCGCCACGCTGGGGCGGGCTGATGAGATAAGTCGACATGGGACAGCGGTACCGAGATGGTGGTTGCGTATGGTGCCACGGGAAACAATCACCATATATCATCATTCATCTCCCCACACTGTAAAAAATCACACTGTAAGAGATCCCGCCATCTCACCCTCGTCAGCTTCCCTCTTTCTCCTCGGCGGACGATGTTCCACCGCAGCCAAGAGCCAAGCTTATTTCCCATTGGATAGCGGCCCGGGGAGACGAAACCTCGCCACGTGATGCACTGGTGTTGCTGCCAAACAACGCCCCGCCAGATCCCAGAAACCAATCACGATGCGGCCTGGCGCGCTGGATCTCCGGAAGGAGGGCGAGGAGGGCCGGGCCTTACGAAGTAACCAAGGCATGCATTGCGTGCTTCCCGCACGAAGAGAAGCACCTGGAAGTTCAAGGAAACTAGAAGCCGGAGGAAGCGCTCTGTTTCCACGTTTTGGCCATCAAATATTTGGAGAGACGGGTTCAGCCATGCAGCTAATACGGAGTGGCTCATGCAAGGCCTGCAGCCTGGTGAATGGGGGATTTTGTGCGCAAATCCTCTAATGTTGATTTAATTCTGAATCTCGCAATGATAAAATTTATCAATCGCACGTCCAGGAGCAACACAACGGGCTGAGCATACACCGCAACTCCCTCGCTGGCCCATTTGTCGCCTGTAGCTGCATCAACATACCAATATGCAACAGTACGTGGGGTATCGGCATCCAGCCCCTCCCAACCCTACGCAGTCTTCCTATCCAACATGCGTAACTTCCGACATTCTTCCCTGCTGTTGTCACTCCGGGGAAGGGACTTACCGGATAGCGGAAACGCTTGCTGATACTTCCAACCCAACCAACCCAACTACTTACCGAATAACTCAACAAATACGGAGTACGTAGATAAGGATTAAGATAAAGATAAATAAGACAAAATTAAAATCAAAATCATATTAAATATCAATATATAGAAATAGAAGTCGCGTGACAGACTCCTAATACAGTTATGAATCTCTCAAGCCAAGCCCTTTTTCCTCAATCCCTGGCATCCCCGGCATCCCCTTACCTTGGCCCAGAGCAAAAAGAAAAAAAATATAACAAAGTAAAAAAGAGCGCCGATAAGAGTTCTGGACCTCATCGATTCGGTAATCCACCAGCTCACTAGTATGGTATTATCTCTATCCGGGCCGTGTGTAGCGTGGGGTCATCAACAAGGGGCAGGTAGGGTAAGATATTCTTGAAGGCAGGATAGGAATTTCAGTCTATCTTATATTTACAACCCTGGCTACTTACATCAACCCTATCCCACAAACCTAGGGCGGAGTAAAATAAGTTAAAAAAAAGAATCCATGCACAATCCGCCTGTCGACCCATAAATACTGGGACTCAAAGGACCCCAAAATCTAAAACTCGATCATTCATGGAGAGTGTAGTTTATCTTACAGCTTGCAGCCAGCATTAGAGATGCCAAACAATCTTTCTATTTCTGAATTTAATTTAATTTATTTTTTTTATAATGCAGGACCTATCTTACAGATTGTACTGTTACTGTCGTATATACAAAGTTCCAGACCCGCGCTTGTCTGCATCGTGATTCATTTACCCATATGTAGTGTACAGGCACAAGTTCTATGAGATTCCTGGAACAGGCGAAGGGGAAAGCAACCAAAACCAAAAATGCTCTTCTTCCCCCCCCCACAAAAATAGAAGGAAAACAAAGGTAAGGACAAAGCCAAACTCACCCACCTGGGGATAAGCTGGATGTAGCGCGGGGTTCCTGCATCTTCCCGTAATTATCGGACGTACCGGGATCGAGTTGGATAGAAAAAATCTAACGGTAAGATTCAATATAGAAATCTCAAGCGGTGAGGAAGTGGGGGCTGGAGATGGGAGCCCTCGTGCCTGATTTGCCACGAATACCCAGGGGATAAGTAAATAAAGATATATCTGGGTTTCTGTAGCTTCGTTTTTCTCCATGTTTTTTCACTTTGTGTGTTTCCATGTTCATGGCCCATGTCCCCTTCTCAACGGGTTGTTGAGAGCCTTTCGTCCCTCATGCAAAACCCAATTTTGTCACATACGCCTTTTGTATGGACACAAAGAGCGGATCGGTTGAAAAAAGAGTACAAAAGGAAAGCATTTTCTGCTCCCCGAAATCAACCCTACTTCCTTCCCTTCCCTTTCCCTCTCTTTCTCCTCCCACCCGCTCCCGCGCCTTCCTCCGGCTCCGGAACACTAACTGTCCCCTCAACCACATCCTCCCCCTGATCCCTCAGCCTCTCCGCACCACTAATAAAAAAGCTCAAATCGCGATTCTGTTCCCGCAAATCCTCATTCGCAACCGTCAACTTCTGCACCTCCCCATTCAAAAACTCCACCTTCTCCAGCAGGCTGCCATTCAAAGCCTTCTCCTCGCGCCACTCCTTCTCCATCCGATGCGCCATGGTCTCAAACTTCTCCGCCCGCCGCTCCGCACGACCCTTGTCGCGCTCGAGATTCGGGATCGTCTCCTTGAGAAGCGTGTCATACTGCGCCTGTATCGCAGCGAGGTTCTTCGTTGCCGTTTCCGCAGCCTCTTGGGCAGCGGTGGCAGCTGCGTTCGCGACTGATGCTTTGTCAGCCGCGCGCTCGACGACTTCTTCAAAATAGGTCCGTTGACTCTCCAACTGGCTCGTGAGCAGGTGTGTATATTCCACACTCATGTTCTCCAGCTTCTCGCGGGGAACCGCGTCGGCCCAGTCTGGCGGGTCAAGCGCACTCTCTCCCGCCGCGGGCAACTCGACAAGTTTGCCGTCGGACTTGTTTTGAATGATCCGGTGCACGTAGCCGTCGCCCACGTAGTCCCAGACACGTTGAGAAGCAAGGTCCATGGCAAATGCGTGGGAAGTGTCCTTGAAGTGAGCAAAGGCATGAGCTTCGTCATAGCGGCCGCAGCCAATGTTGCCGCATATCAAGCATAACCACAGATTCACCTCGGAATGGCACACATGACACTCTGCGGGGCCCTGATCGAAATCAAAGGCATGAGCTGCCCTCTTGCTGAATTCGTCCTGCGTATACCGGCAAACAGGACATCCGCTGCCTTTCCACTTCTGCAGGCATGTACAGTGGAAAACATGCTGGCAAATGATCGTAAGCAAGCCTGTCGTCTCATCCATGCGCTCTAGGCAGACGGGGCATGTCGGTAACTCTATCAGCGAGGGCGTTGGAGGCGCCAATGGTTTCGTAGACAGTGAAGTTGAAGAAAGCGTACTCGATTGAGGAGGGGGGGATGCTGAGGGTACTAGGCCCTGATTCGTTGTTGCGGGCGTAAAGGGGTCATTATTCATATCCGGAAACTTGCTCTCTGTCCCCGGTGCTTCGACCTGAATCTCGACGGTTTTCACAAATACGACATGACACGTTTCAGGCTGTAAAAATAATATAGCAAAATAATGCAAACATCAGCAACAAATCCAGAGCAAGGATCGAGCCCCTATCGAACAGGAAAAAAAGAAAAAAAAAAAAAAAAAGAGGCATAGCTCACCTCCATTGAATTGAACACCTTCCCGTTCCAAGCTCGCTGCCACTCCTTCGCCCTTTTCCCGCTCCGAAACTTCATTAAAACCATATACCGATTTGCCCGCGCCGTCCTTATCATCCGAAAGTGGCTAACCTCATCCCTCGTCTGGTCGCCCACAAACCCTAAAAAGTCCGACGGAGACATATACGACGGGACCGCGAGTATGCACAAAGTGGTACAATCCTCCGTGGAATGGGCCGCCGAGTCTGCTACTGCTGAAGACCCGGATCCTCTAGACCCAGCGTTTTCGTTATCAGCAACGCCATATTTCCTGCCAACATTGTTGCTGGAATGGCTGTCAAGCATCGCACTCCGCGTGAGCGCTGACCCTTTCAGAAACGACGGGTCATCGTCATCCCTGTAAAGGGTAGAAGTTTCCGCTACATCACGATATAAATGTACGATCCCCCACGCGCTATCTGAAACTTTCTGGTCGAGCGGGACATATCTGCCCTTTGTAGCTAGGCCCCCGATGATGTTTGTGCCAATGCCCTTGGCTATCGGATTATTATTATTATTGCTGCTGCTGTTGTTGTTGTTTCCTTTGGTAGCTGGTTGTTGAGGCTGCTGGGGTTGTTGGTTGGTGGTTGTGGCTGTTTGTTGTTGACTCTGGGTCTGGGATTGTTTCTGGTTCTGGTTTTGTTCTGGAACAACCATGTCGATGCACTCGATGGAGATTTGATCGAGGCGTTTGTCGTTTGAAAGCCTGGAAGTGGGCGTAATAGGGTGAGTTTTGGATGCGGTGTTGGCAAGAGTCTCATGGACTTGCTGAGGGTGATGAGCGCCAACTATCTCGGACTGAGGAGAGGGAGGCGTAGCCGGAGCTGTAGTTGTCGTTGTAGTTGTGTTTGTAGCTGTAAAAGATGTAGATGTACAAGTTCCCAACGAAGCTTGACATTGATGGCGTCCGCTCGAGCTCGAATCTTTGGCTACTTTACTCAAGAAAGCAACGAACCACAAGATTCACCTAGTTAGTGGACAAGTTCATATCCTACCAACCACTATGTTCGGAATTCACAATGAAAAAATATGTAACAATACACACCCAACCAGTAACCAGGATTCCTCTTCAACGAAATAAAGAGAAAACGGGGAACTGAAAATGATGAAACTCACCACCACCACCACCTCCTCCAACAAGATCCCTATAAATTTCCCCTCCGCCGCTATTCCCGTTGCTATTTCCGCCCCTAAAATTCTTCCTCCTCAGATGGCGATTGCTATTTCTATTATTCTGGTTATTATGGCAATCCCAATCGTCACCATCCCTTGCCCCCTTGCCAGCAGACCCCCTAGCTCTCCTCTTATAACCGTTCCGGAAAGGTCGTAACGCGTCACAGAACCCCCGAAGCGTGATGTCGATGTCGTTGCTATCTGATCCGTCGAGCAGGAGGCGTAGCTGAGAAGGATGTGGATGTGGATGTGGATGTGGATGTGGATGTGGATGCGGATGCGATGAGGATGGCGAGAATGGCGAAAAGGAATCAGGGTTATCGTTTTCGTATTGAATGGCAACCGGGCCGTGCTCGTCGGCCGCTAGAGTCGGAGTACTATTGTTATTATTACTATTATTATTATTACCGCCACCAGCTATCAGCAATTCCAGGAGAATATGGTAGAAGTATGAGGGCATCCCGAGTTAACTCATGTGAGCGGGTGAAAATATGGATATTTAGCGGTTTCCTTCGTCTGAATTTCATGCCATCACAGCAGGCGATGAGTTGGCTTGCAGTTTAGATTGTTGACGAAAACGTAGCTGCAATGGCGGGTGGCATAGGCTGTTGGTTTCATTTGAGGGAGTTGCCTTCATTGTCAATATTTTTGTTGTTGTTCTATTCTCAATCCTTGAGCGATGTCGCAGAGCACCTGGCAGCTTCCAAGGCTATTTCTTTAGTCACGTGGTAGATGACGCAACCTTTGAAACTTTTCCGACAATTCCCAGTCAGGCTTCGGAACTACACCGAGACGAAGGTCTACGATTACTGCCTAGTGTATTCGCACTTCTACTCTACGAGAGGAAAGGAAAATAGAAAAATGAAATGAGAGAAGAGATGAGGTTTGGATTGTTACGAGGAGTCGACAAAAAGGATGTAGTTTAAGTGATGTAGATAGCTAAGTGTAAATGAATGCATGGCGTGTCGTAAGTTGCTCATAAAAAGAATCCATCCCCAATGACCAATGACGCCAAGCCGGTAGTTTTATTTCTCCCAGCGTAGGAAAAGAAGGAACAAGAGAAAGAAAAAAAAAAAAATGGAGAACAATGCCAGGGATAAATGTATTTAGTGGCCACCCCGCAATCTCAACACCAAATGGAGAGTGCTTTCCTTTTGAATGTTATAGTCGGAAAGGGTTCGGCCATCTTCCAGCTGTTTACCAGCAAAGATAAGGCGCTGCTGGTCTGGTGGGATACCCTCTTTATCTTGGATTTTGCTCTTCACGTTGTCGATGGTGTCGGAACTCTCAACTTCTAGTGTGATGGTTTTTCCGGTAAGAGTTTTCACGAAGATCTGCATACCGCCACGAAGTCGGAGGACGAGGTGAAGTGTGGATTCTTTTTGGATATTGTAATCCGAGAGTGTTCGGCCGTCCTCAAGTTGCTTTCCGGCAAAGATGAGCCGTTGCTGATCTGGTGGGATACCTTCTTTATCTTGGATTTTGCTTTTCACGTTGTCGATGGTATCTGAGTTTTCCACTTCCAGGGTGATGGTTTTACCGGTCAGAGTCTTAACGAAGATTTGCATTCCACCACGCAGACGAAGGACGAGATGGAGGGTCGATTCCTTTTGGATGTTATAATCGGACAAGGTGCGGCCATCCTCAAGTTGCTTTCCAGCGAAGATCAGGCGTTGCTGGTCTGGGGGGATGCCTTCTTTATCTTGGATTTTGCTCTTTACATTATCGATGGTATCAGAAGATTCCACCTCCAAGGTAATAGTCTTTCCGGTGAGGGTTTTGACAACTGTTTATAGGAATTTGTTAGTCCGTTTATTTTATTTTATTTTTCGTTCTCGCAAGCAAAACAGACAGATATATCTGGGATAACATACAGATCTGCATTCCTCCACGGAGACGGAGAACCAGGTGAAGGGTGGACTCCTTCTGGATGTTATAATCTGACAGCGTACGGCCGTCTTCCAACTGTTTGCCAGCGAAAATAAGACGCTGCTGGTCAGGAGGGATGCCTTCCTTGTCCTGAATTTTTGACTTGACGGCGTCGATAGTATCAGCTGACTCAACGTCAAGAGTGATAGTCTTTCCGGTGACTAAAACAAGGAGGAAGAAGTGGTATGTTAGCCCAGTTACATAAAGCTGGTTTGGGAGAAAATTCCGCCTTGGAAAGGATATACGTACGGGTTTTCACGAAAATCTGCATGGTGGCGGGTTTGAAGTTGAGGAGAGATGATGATGAGTCAGTGGCAGAATGGAAGAGTGGGGGTGGTATCGTATTGCAACGGATCCCAAGGGTACAGAGTTGATCGATGAGATAGTTAGAAACCGGCTGAGGGGAAAAGCAGAGACAGAGATGCCAGTGACGCGGGCGAAGGAGACAGGGTGATGATGATGGTGATGGTGGTGATGATGGGAAGGAGGAAACGAGGAGGAAGGAAGTTAGACGGGGCCCTGGGGTTTAAGTATAACCATGGATGTCAGCAGACTAAAAGAGGCTGGGTTGGAGGCGAAGTTGGTTCTGATTAGTCACGGCCCCTCTGTGTGCTGCCTGGCTGGTGGCGTTTTGGAATCTTGGCGAAGTTGGTGGAACCAGCAACACTGACTCGGACATATCGAGCTGGAACACTATCACCACTTTTCCCATGCGCAGGCAGACACCGTCCTGAACATCAAACACCCCAGAATAACTTGAATATTCTTCTCATTCTTCAAGAGAGAGGGAAAGAAAAGGAAACACTTCCACCGTCTCCTACGAATCAGAATGAAAAGGCCTAGGAAGTTCCAAGCAACTATGTCCGATATGATACCTTCAAAGATTTTTGGCAATGAACACAAATCTCTAAAAAAAAAAAAAAAAAAAAAAAAAAACCCATGGAAAACCAATACCTACCAACGGGTCAAGGGGGAAA